GGCCGCTCTCGGCCACTGCACTCCAGTCTGGGCGACGGAGTGAGACTCCAACTCAAAAAAAAAATTTGTGAAGTGAACTTCTCTTGCCTGATGACCCAGTCCCATCAGGAACAGCCGTCCCACCCTCAAAAGTTCTAAAACTTTCTTCCTCCTCTAAACTCTAAGTTGCCCGTGGCCGCAGTTACCAGTTTACCCCAATCAGAGCTTCATTTTTAGTGGACGTGCAGCCCAAGAGACGATTTGGCCAATGACTGCACCACTACACAGCACAGACTATGGTGTTTTGCTTTTGTGAAGTGGACTTGGACTGTGTCATCGTCTTTCAGTGTTTCCTGGCTTCATCCAGTTCTTAATCGCTGTGTTTGTAAGATGGCGTGTGGCTTGCAGCTTTCTGGTACACGAGTCAGGGTTCTTGGGTTGCAAAAGGAGCTCATTTTTAAAAAGTTGAGCAAAAAGGGACTTGAATGAAATAGGATGGTAGAGTTGCCACAATTGAGGGAAAGAAGGAAGAGCTATGTAGAATAGAATCAGGCAGCTCTGGGCATCTTGACAGGATGTATGGTTCTGACTTTGGAACAAAGAAGTTCGGATTGTTTGGGATGGCACGATTGTTTCTTTGGTGGGTAAGTGTGTGTGTTTTAACCTTGCAAAGATTCAGAGTTATGTGTAGAAATAAAGAGATGTAGCACTCTCAGGCATTTGTTGGAATGGATTTGACTTTTAATTATATATTAGAGATAATTTAGTATATTTGAATTAAGATAAGCCTTGAGATTCCAAATTTAAAAATGTATAATTGGGTCATTGAATTGAACTTGTGGTTTTGAGTTGCAGTCCTACTAAGTGCTATGGTTTGATTATTTGTTCCCTCCAGAACTTAACGTTGAAACTTGATTCCCAATATAACAGTATTAAGAGGTGAGGCCTTTAAGAGGCAATCGGATCAGAGCCATGGATTAATGATTATTACTGCAGTGGATTATCACAGAATGGAGTGCTTGGGCATGCCCTAGTCCTGTCAATGAAATAACTGTATTGGAATACTAAAAAATATTGGATTTACTCCCTCAAAAAAGCAGAAAAGGATAAACAAAGAAACAGAAATCAGATGGGTAGATAGAGAACAAATAACAGAAAGATAGACCTAAATTTAACCATATCAATAGGTACATTAAGCACTCCAATTAAAAGACAGAGATTATCTGACTGGAGACTTCACACATGCCCCAATTGCATGCCATCTGCAAGAAACATTTCTAATATATGACATAAAGGTTGAAAATAGAGGAATGGAAAACTGAAGTCACTAAAACAGTAAGCATTAAAATGCTGCAGTTGCTATGTTAACATGGGATAAAGGAGAACTCAAGACAAAAAGTATTGCCACAGGGAAAGAGGCACTTTGCAATAATGAAAGAGTAACATCATTAGGAAGACTTACTTTAGGTATGTAGTCGACCTTCTGTATCTACAGCCTCCTCATCCTTGAATTCAACAAACCACAAGTAAAAATATTTGGGGGAAAGAACCCAGTAAGGCATAACAATACAACACCAAAGAGTAATACACATTTTTAAAATTGCTGTTGACCACTATTTACAAAGCATTTGCACTTATTAGGCACAATAAATAATCTAAAGATCATTTAAAATACAGTATATGAGAGGATGTGTGTCAATTATATGCAAATACTGTGTCATTTTATGTAAGAGCCTTGAGCATCCGTGGATTTTCATATTTTGGGGGGATCCTGGTGCCAATTTCTGTGGATAATGAAGGACAACTGTATGTACCTAATAACAGAGCTTAAAAACCCATGGATTGCCGAGCCCACGGGTTCGAGACCCGCCTGGGCAGCAAGACCTCATCTCTACAATAAATCAAAAATTAGCCAGGCATGGTAGCGCGCACCTGTAGTTCCAGCTACTTGGAAGGCTGAGGCAGAAGGATCGCTGGAGCCCAGCAGGTCGAGGCTGCAGTCCCTCGGAAGTGGCCATTGCACTCCAGTCTGGGTGACAGAGTGAGACTCCAACTCAAAAAAAAAAAAAAAAAAAAAAACTCATGGAGAAGAAACTGACAGAACTAAATGACAACAGAAAAGTCCACAACCAGAGTTATATATTTGTAATTTATCTTGCAATTATTGAAACAATAGATAAACATCATCAACAACATATTACATCTTAATAAGACCTTCAGCTAGCTACCTTGTTATAATGATACTTTTCAAGTACTGAACCATGAAACCAGAATACACATCGATCATCTAAAATATGCAGTTTTTGGAGAAATTTTTCTGATTTTAATGGAATAAAATTAGAAATCACTGGGCTTGGTGGCTCAGACTGTAATCCCAGCACTTTGGGAGGCTGAGGTGAGTGAATTGCCTGAGCCTGCGGGTTCGAGACCCGCCTGGGCAACTTGGTGAGACCTCATCTCTACAATAAATCAAAAAATCAGCCGGGCATGGTAGCGCGCGCCTGTAATTCCGGCTACTTGGAAGGCTGAGGCAGAAGGATTGCCGGAGCCCAGCAGGTCGAGGCTGCAGTGACCGGGAGCGGCCACTGCCCTCCAGTCTTGGTGACAGAGTGAAACTCCAACTCCAAAAAAAAAAGAAATCAATAAGATATATTTTAAGATTAAATATTTAGAAATTGAATGTTAACAACACCATCAAAATTTGAGACTACAGCTAAAACAGCATCAGAGGAATATTATACCTTTAAATTTTATTTTAGAAAAGGAGAAAAGTTTTAAATCAAAGGCATGGGTTTCCACCTTAAGAAGCTAGGGAAGGAAAGGCTAAGTAAAGCTACTCAGAAGTCTGAAAACATTTTCTATAAAGAGCCAGATACTGTCAGTGTTACAGGCTTTGTGGGCCATGCAGTCTCTGTTGGCAGCTATTCCAAAATATTTCAATACCAAAATGGAAACAAGGTGAAATAAAATCTTAATAGCTCTACTATTGTAATGAAAGCAAACACAGACAGTATGTCAATATATGAGCATGACTATGTCCTAGCAACATTTTATTTACAAAAGATGGGCT